GATAAACTGAACAAAAATATAAAAGGACAGAACAGGAAGAAGGATGAGAAGCTAAAACTGCCGAACTTTGTAGCTAAACCTCACAATACTGCAAGGAAATTCAAATTAGGTAATGAAGATAAGTACAAATTGTAAAAGCCTAAAAAGCTGAAGTTAGAAAAATTAAAATAAAAAATTCCGAGGGAATCGAAATTTATGTAGAAGATGAGAAGTCGATATTCACAGCGTGTTCTTATTTTAAGACTGTTTTAAGTAATGTTTTAATTATATGCTAATATATGGCTCTGTAATTGACTATTATATAATATATTAAGACTGTATTTAAGGCAGTCTTAAATGCAAGATCAAAACTGCGTTAATTCAAGATCGAAAAAGATTTTGGCGCGCAGTTTGTAGAATCAGATATTTTAAAATATAAATTCGTTTAGAAATATTTTTAGCATTAAGAACTGTTTGGACCGAAAATAAAGGATTTCTCTTATTTAATTAGATTTAGTCTCATCGATTCTTTATTATATCATATTATTAAATATAAAAACCTACTATATAAGTACTGACCCTAATGAATTTGTTCACTTTTGTAATTTTCGTTTCGAAATACACAATAATTGACTCCGAGGTCTTATTATTGGTCGAATACAATTTCTTAGAATTTCTAAGATATACCTAAAATAATCTTAAATAGAAGATTAAAGTATAAATAACGCTCTAAAAAAATTCCGAGTTTGAGGTTGCGGTCGATTTAGACGCTGACGCGCTTTAAGCGCTTGTAGTCATCATTTTATCTTTATCGTTCATTAGACGTAACATAAGAATAAGAAGTAAAAAGTGAAAAGCGCTGAAAGCAGCCAAAGTGTCGCGACAACTTCACGCCGCTTCGACGCCCTTCCATAGATTTTGAATTAGTAACGAACGCGTCGCGACCGACGGATCTGATTTTGAGCCGCTCCGTGTTTCTCGCGATTGCTGTCGTCCGATAGCGAGTTTCTCGTACGCCAAGTATCGGAAACGTTTTTTGCCGTAATGTGTCGGAACCTCGTTATAATACGCCATAGGCGATCAAAATCACCGTTGGAGAGATACGCTTTTTTAACCGTCGGAATCGATCGAAATCATACGCCACGTTACTTTTCGGTAGGAACACGAGTTCGTGACTACTGCCAGGTACATATTTCTTCTATGCGTTTGCGTATATGTACATATATTTATGTGTAATCTCTTTTTTTTTTTGCAAATCATGCTGATTATATTTTTTGAGATTACTGTTTCAAATATCCAATGTTAATGCGTGATTATTTTCAGAATTCAATTGTGCGCGATTTATTATTTATTATATTATACCGTGTCATCTATGTATTTTCCTGAAATTAAAGCGCTAAAAACATAGAAAGCTTGGAAGATCGTTCGTTTCTGAAAACATTTTATTCGCGATAAAATCTTCTAAAGGCAACTTTAATCGAACTCTAATTAATTGTCGATCAGTTCAATTGGCGAATCAACAAAATTTCTAGTATATACTATATATATATATGTATATAATCTCATCGTCTCAAGTATAATTTTCTCTTCTGTATCTCGAATAATAGAAAGTCGAATAATAGAAAATCGATAATTCTATTTATCTCAATAAAATAGTGTAGGCATTTGAAGCTGATCGCTGATAAGTTAATCGGAACTATCGAGGACGCCCAAGAAGATAAGCGAAGAAAAGTAGAAAGTTCGCCTGATTCGCCGTGAACATGAGAGAGTCAGGGCTCTCCCCAGTGTCCCCGTCACTCGCGAATTTCCCCCAGGGACCCCAGACACCTCCTGATCTCCCCTAGCGGCGCGCGCTTGTGGCGGCGCCGCACTCGCGCGTGTCTTGTGCAGTTGGCGCGACGTCGCGTCGGCTGCTTCGGGAAGTTTCGGCCAATCGGGCAGCTCCGTTCGGCGCACGATCGGTGCAGTTGATAAATGGAGGATCCGTGTTTGTCAAGGTAGTTTTGTTTACGCGGAAATTTTCACTCGGTAACAACTCCCCGTGCGTTTCGTTTGTGCGGAAGGGGTAGATGAAGGTACGTAACGATCGTCGCGTGTGTGAAAATGCCGCTCTCGGCGACCACCGCCGCGTCTACGATGTTGAAATCAGTCGAACGCGTCGGCCTGTCCTCGCGAGCCACAGGGCCTCTCGGGCAGGATGAGTGGTTGACGGTGAAAAAATTCGCCACCGCCTAGCGAAATTTGCACTCACGTGCGACCGGACCGTCCCCGGTTGGTCCGTTGTCGCATTTCGCGTCGAAATCACCGAGTTTCTAGTTCGTCCGGCCGGAATGGCTCGCGAAAACCTTGTTTCACCGTCATAGGTTATGAGCTTGTATCTGATGTGCCTGTCGTGCGGAACAAACAAAATCCGTTCTCTTATGATCAACATCGTTCTCTCGCACTAATTTTGCGAGTTCGAGAGATCTGCTCGTGCCCGACATGAAGTTAGAGTCACAAGTTGCTACATTTTCTGTTCTCTTTTCTATGAGCCTGAAACACAGGCCTGGTTGTTCTAATTGACTGACTTATCAAGAATATTAATCTCGTTGATCCTGTTATATATCTCTTAGATACACAACTTTTCTTTTTTAATTCCTTCGAAGCAATATAGTCTACATACACTAATACTACATCTAATATGTATCAAGATATCAGAATCTTTATGTCAACTGTTTAAATTTTAATAAATTATACTTATAGCAACGTGAAATAACTTCTTTAAAGATCCTTTTATTTTGCCATTATATCAAAAATTGTATCTGAGAGATGTGCTGTAATGTGTGACATTAAAACTGCAACAGATCACAAATATAGTATTTCTATTTTAACAAGTCTTTTGTTCTTTTTTTTTAGAATTTAAGATGTCCCGCAATCACAAGGAAAAGTATGAGAACTCCAACCCACGTCGTATGTATACACTCATGTGCCCTGAGGACTATCAATCGGGGAAGAAATCTCATTGGTCGGAGTTGGAGATAACAGGCAGTATACGAAATTTGAGCCCCAATTTGTGGCAAATGACTCATTTAACAGCTCTGTATCTGAATGATAATAGTCTGCAGAGGTTGCCATCTGAGATTGGCCGTCTTGTTAACTTGCGTATTCTAGATCTGAGTAGCAACAAGCTGCGCAGTCTGCCTGCTGAACTAGGGGAGCTCATCTATCTCAGGTATGATAAAACAGAAAGTATAATGAGAAATATTTACTTCAATAATGAGCATATTCAATAGATCTTTTTTTGTATGGTATAAATTTGTTATCATATTGTTCCAGGGAGTTGTTATTGAACCAAAACTTCCTTCGCGTGTTACCGTACGAACTAGGGAAGTTGTTCCAGTTACAAGTGCTAGGACTTCAAGGAAATCCACTCAGCAAGGATGTGATGGCGTTATATGGAAATGGAGAACCTGCGGGGACGAACAAGCTGCTGACATACATGTTGGACAACTTACAAGGTAAGTGGAAGGCTTTTATTTGTTGAGCGAGTTTTCGAAGACATTTGAATCTCTTCCTACAAAATTTTTTTTACATATTTTCTATTCTATTAAAGTAGTAAGACATGCGCCATCTGCTTGGTAATAACGATAATAAATATTGAGAGAACAGAGTATCCAAATGATCATAAAAATTAAGAATTTAGAAGAAAAATTTCTTTTCGAAGAGTTTAAACTTATTTTACTTTATTTTGTTTAATTTATAAGTTC